GGGACGACGGCGACGACGACGGCGACGACGACGACGACAACGACGACGGCGACGATGGCGAAGGCGGCGACGGCGACGGCGACGGCGACGGCGACGGCGACGGCGACGGCGACGGCGGGGGGAGGGTGGAAGGGGCGGCGGGGCGCGGCGGCGGTACAGCGCGCGCCGAAATAAAGTGGTCGGGGCGGAGGGGGCGCGCTGGCTGCTGGGCGGGGAGGAGTTGGGGGGTCGGGGCGGAGGCGGCGCGCGGCGCGCGCGGGTTCTGGGGGGCGCGCTGGCTGGCGCTGGCGGGCGAGGAGGAGCTGGCTTGGTTGCTGTGGGTGGGGGCAGGGGGGCGCCGCGCTGGCGCAGAGCGTGCCGTAATAGAGTGGTCGGGGAGACCGGTCGGGGCAGAAGGGGCGCGCGGGCTATTCGGCGAGAATCGGTTGGGCCTGCCGTTGGGGAGGGGAAAAGGTGGGGGCGCGGCGCCCGTGCCGCGCGTGCCGGAATAATGTGGCCAGGGCGGAGGGGGCGCGCGGGCTGGTGGGCGAGGAAGAGCTGGGGCTGGCTGCTGGCTGGGGAGGAGCTGAGCTGGCTGGGCGAATGTGGGTGAGGGTGCACGCGGTGTCCGCGCCGTGCGTGCCAGAAGAAAGTGGTCGGGGCTGAGCGGCCGCGCTGGCTGGTGGGCGAGCAGGAGCTGGGGCTGGCTGCTGGCTTCGGAGGAGCTGAGCTGGCCGTGGGTGGGTGGGTGAGGAGGGACGCGAGGCCAGTGCCGTGCGTGCCGAAATAAAAGGTTCGTAGCTCTAGACGCACTGCGCCAGAGAAAAAATCTTGGTAGGGACCCATGAAAGGCCAACTTGGAGGGCACGTGTATTGCAGCATCGTTCATGAGTCTTGCGTTTTTACTGGTCCTCCTCGTCCTCCCCCCCCTCCGGGGATTTTTTTTGAGGAGGGGAGGAGGAGGAGGAGGAGGAGGAGGAAGAGGAGGATGGAAACGAGGAGGGGGGAAGAGAGGGATGGGAGGAGGAAGAGGAGGAGGAGAAGGAGGAGGAGGAGGAAGAGGAGGAGGAGGAGAAGGAGGAGGAGGGGACCAGCTGGCGCTCTTCCCTGGCGACGGGAATGGGCTTGCACGCCCGCATCGTCGCAGTCGGACGTCACCGTCGTCGCCGTCTTCACCATCATTTTCCTCCACCTCCTCCACCCCGTCCTGCTCCTCCTCATCTTCGACGTCCTTCTGCTGCTCCTCCTCCTCGTCCTCCTCCCCCTCCTCCTCCTCCTCCCCCTCAACATCATCATGAAATGTTGTCGACGACATTGCGCTGCAGGCTTGCGGTCGGCCCGTCCAGGTAGCAGGAGTTCTTGCAGGTGGGTTCGAATCTCTCTTGGTGGATTTTGGCCGGCTGAAGCTGCCGGTCGCCATGAAGAAAAGCAAGTATTTGTGTTCGATCGAGGTCCATAGACTCGTGAGCGCTCAGTGGTCCCTCCCTCCATCCAGTCGGGTCGATCACCATCGAAATTTGGGCACGGATGCGACGGCAGGCGGCGTCAGGAGGGTCGGCATCGCGAGGTCCTGGTTCGTCACAGCCAAGTCCAGGTCGCGCCGGCTTCAACTTCTGAGGGAGGCGGGAGCCGACATCGCCCTCGTCCAGAGGATGGGGGCCACAGCCTCTGCCCTGTGGGGTAGCAGTGTTTCGGGGGTGCCCCCATCGGCCATGCACGGCCTGCGTCTGTCTGCTGCTCACAGCGCTGGAAGGCATCCTAGAGGAGCCAGCCTTGGGATTCGGCTGCATTATTTTCGCCTTTGGCCGATTTGCGATCCTCTGGTGGCCTACACTGGTCATGTTATGTTTCAAAGGGCCACGGCGGTCTGGGAGGGGTACCCCAAGGCCCACATCTTAGATACCACCATGGCCTCGGCGATATCTCGGGCTTCCAACAAGAGGCACCCTTGGAGAGGGGCGGCTTCCCCAGCCGACGTAGCCTACCTGTCATTGGCTCGTATCGGTTGGTACTTTTTGAACAGCTCGCAGGTTGTCAGCGACCTCGGCGACACCTGGAATCTGTTGCAGCTCGCTCCGATGGAAGTTCGGGCTCTTGTTCGCGACGCGGCCACCAGGGCCTCCGATCGCCAAGCCCTGGAACAGCACGGCTCCCAGGGGCGCCAGGAGGGCCAGAAGGCCCCGTCGTTTCCGATTTTCTGGCAAGGCGCTTTTGGGCTTCTCCGTGGGAGATCTTCGGCCTGGACCGTCCAGCACCAGAGATCGTTCCGGAGCTTAATGTGTAATGTGCATTGGCCTCAGGCCCGAGTGTGTGGGCACTCGTTGCACCGCTCGCCCGACTGCCGCCTATGCTTTGGTGCTCCGGGCACGCTGTGGCACAGGCAGTTCGAATGCCCAGCGCATGAAAGCCAGCGTCGGGACAGCGTCTCGAGTTGGCTCAAGGAGAGGGCGGTGAGGGCTCGGGAGGCCGGTGTCGAGGTTGGGGAGAGGTTCGCTCGTGGCGTGTTTCCCTCGCCTCTCGTTTTTGTGCCCAGGAGTGAGCCCCAGGAGCTGATCCATTGGATAAATAAACCCTCCTCGGGGCTGCTCACAGG